TACACATTTATAAATAAGGCCATGAATACACATCAAAGCTTTTGGAAAGCACGGTATTTAAAAAGACGAAAGCAGTAGCAGCTAATGATGGCATCAAGCCTTCATGATGTCTGGAAAGACAACTTACTTTTGAACATATATGTCTCCCCCCAAAAAAAAAGAAAAAAAAAAAAGCTAAAGCTCTTCAAATTTAAGATCTGTTGTGTATTATGAGAACATTATTTTATATCAAAGCTGGAGAACCTGTGGTCGTCCAGAAGCAGTTGTACACCAGTTCTCACTAGATCTAGCCATTCTGATCAGTGAGGAGGCATGCTGTAATAGTTCCATAACACTTGTTGGACCAAAGGTTTACTTGTGGATGAGAGGTAAAGGAGGATATACTGTAGGGTCCCTTCCAGCTTTGCAGTTCAAAGGTGGTGGTTGTCATCATCATCATTGTCGTCATCATCATCTCTAGTACAAAGGGGCAAACTAATGTGCATTCATAGAGAGCAGAAATCCAATGTAGATAGCATGTGTGCAAAAACGTGTAGAAAAGATAGAGGACTTCCATGTGGAAATGCCCTAGTGTTCCTGCACCAAAAAGTAATTTAAAAAGATCTAAGATTAGGCACTGCAAGGGGGCTATGAAAATGACAGATCTTTGATCTTTGTGCAGATCAGAAGCATATGGTCTCAGCAATCTCAGTTGATACACTGTATATACATATGAATAGCCACTACAAATAGTGTTTCTTGCACCTTAACCTGGCATTAGGCTTGCATTATCACATGCTCCAGTGCAGTTTCCACTGTGGAAAACTATGGTTCATTTGCTATCTTCAACCATTCAGGTATTTAAGAGGAAGACAGAAGAGGAAGCACACAACTTGCCCTGTCTTTGGACAAGTTGAAATAGATATGACCTAAAAGGGAAAGGAAGTGAATAAGTCAATAAGGGGAAGGAGGAGGTGAATAAGTGGACAATCTCACCAAGAGCATCTTATGAAATGGCCCATCAAAACATGGACTAAGCATTCCTTGTGCTGAGGTACAGAAAAGAATTCTTGTATAAGCATGACAAGAAATAAGGGGCGAGGGATTGTCTTAGGTATCTTCTTCACTCCTTCCCTGCCTACAAAGGTACAGTATACTGAATATAGGAGAGACAGATAAGAAAGGAAGGCAAAATATTGTTGTCAATGAAAGAAAAATATGTGAGATAAAGGTAGTTCAATGACAAGCCGGAGGGCACATCTGAAATTTTGGGACAAAATTCTCAGTCATCTTCTCAGTCCACCACATTGTGGCGGTAACAGATACTGTATTCTGAGATACTTAAGTGCAACGTTTACATTTAGAATAATGTAATTCCTCCTTTGCTACCCTGTTTCCCAAAAATAAGACTTACTGTAACCTGAAAATAAGCCCTAGTATGATTTTTCAGGATGCTCGTAATATAAATCCTACCCCCAAAATAAGCCCCACTTAAGTGAAACCCCGCCCTCCACCATTGTGCAGCAACCAGAAGAAGATGACATGACTGTATCAGAATAAATGGAGATTGTTGTACATGAAAAAATAAAGCATCATTTGAAAATAAGCCCTAATGCGTTTTTGGAACATAAATTTATATAAGACCCTGTCTTATTTTCGGGGAAACCCTGTCTTATTTTCGGGGAAACAAGGTAGCAAACTCATCATTATGACAGTGTGGCATGTGGTTATACGGATCTTACAGCTTTTTGTGTTCTCTTTAAGATAACTTTTTTTTCCATAACACATTTTGTGAATGGTTAATTTGTTTATTTCATTTTTTAAAAAAAAAATTGCAATGCACCTGTTGTACAAATGCTGTCTGACAGCACAGAACTAACTAGGCCTTTTTTAAAAGTGGAGAATGGCTGTGCACTTTTATCTATATTCTTCCTAGCAATAGCAACATTTTAATGCCTGAGTATTAAGATCCCTGTGGAGCAGGGCTGTAACTTCCCTAGTCCCCGCCTAGAGTGGTCGTAACTGACCAGATAGGCAGGATATTAAATAAATAAATAAATAAATAAATAAATAAATAAATAAATAAATAAATAAATAAATAAATAAATAAATAAAT